ACCTTAGTCAGAAGGAACATAGCTCAGAGAAGAACTTGGCATTTGTGAATTGGTTAGTGAGGGGAAAAGGGAGGAGGAAGGAAAAGACATTAACTCTTGGTTTTCTTTTCTGCCAGACTTTGTGTAGTGTGTGTGTGGGAGGAGGATGTTGGTAGAAGGGTTAGGACAAGTTAAAGGAGATATTCAAAGGATCTACAATAAAAATATTTAAAAGGCTATTCCACTTCATAGGACAGCTGTATTATTTGTGGTATTTGTGATTATTGTAACCCATATACCCCTACTGTCTGTCCTAGTTTCACCCTAGATCCTCAGCTAGATACCCTAGGTTGTAGGTGTTTTATTGGCCAGAATCTCCTTCAGCCTTTAGCTCATGAGCCCCCACCAATATGGTTTAATTGGACTTGTGGAACCAATGACATAACTCTAACAGTCAGGCCTCTCTCATCTAAAGACTATGATGAAGTTCTTTATTCACCTTCGCAAGCTATGGCAGGAAGTACAGAAGACTGTTCTAAGGTCTGGCCTTTGACCTTTTCTTAGAATTCCATTAAATGCTTATTTTCTCCCAAGAACATGTCTTTCTTCTGCTTGATTTATAAATTCAGACATAAATCACACTGCTTTCTTCTGAGTTTTCAATTGAACTCTCCCATTTTAGGACTTATAACCGTTGGCTAAAGCAATTCTCCCCAGAGATCCATTTACTCAAACAGAAAAAAGATTGCGAGACACTTTGGTAAGGAAATTGTTTTAACCTCCCTCTTTCAACCTCCAAGTTCCATGCTTTGTACAACCTTCCAGATTGCTGGAGAAGTCTAAAATAATTCTCTGCAAATCGTATTTAATAACCTAACTATGAAATTCTGAGAGACACTCCCCCTGAAGCATATTCTAGACTGGTCTCTGTCCATAACTTTCCTATGTTCTTACAAAAATGAATATGTTATAAATCACAGTCCTTTTCTGTGTGGCTATGGACAAATCATTTTACATCTCTTTGGCTTCAGGTTCCTCTTATGAAAAAAAAACCCAATACATTTAAAGGGTTTTGCAAATCTTTAATTGTTAAATATGTTATTATTGTTCCTATGTTTTTAGTTATTAACTTATTTAGTGAAAAGTTTCTACTATATAGCCTCTAAAGTCCTGTCTACTTGTAAGTCTGTGATGCAAGTTTTTTGTTCTTGAAGAGGACCATGACATCAGGAAGGTGATGCCATGACTCGCAAGTGAATTGGATTTAAGTGAGGCAGGGCTGTGGAAAGTCACCAGGCTTCCTTTCTCATCTAGATCAGGATGACTAGAGATGGCCTCCGTGATAACAAGTAGATAAGTACAAAAGATGAAATATACCTGACCAGATTCTTGTAGTGAATTAGCAAGTAAATTGAAGTATTCTCAATCCAGTAAAGGAAATAGATGTCAGAGTTCACCCATCTTTAATTCTTTCTTCCTTCTTGTTCTTAATCTTTTTGTGTGTTTTGTTGTGTTGCACTTTATTTTGTTTTGTTTTAATTCAGATAGATGGTCTAGGAATTTAGTTGTGTTTTCTCTCCAATATCACTAAGATGTTTTGTTATCGAAAAAGTGAAGGAAGTTGTAGGGTATTCTCTTTCATCATCTTGTGTTTGCTTGGCAAAGATACTGGAGTGGTTTGCCATTTCCTTCTTCAGCTTATTTTAGAGATGAGGAAGCTGAAGCAAATAAGGTTAAACTAACTTGTCCAGAGTTACATAGCTAGTATGTGTCTGAGGCCAGATTTTAAATCAGGGAGAGGAGTCTTCCTGACTCCAGGCTCAACACTCTATCCATTGTGTCACCTAGCTCCCCTTGTGATAGCTACGTACTTAAAGAGATTTCACTGTATTTCCATTATAGAGATTATTGTAACGGGAAACAAAAACAGCATTTCTGATTTCACAATTAATTGTAGGACATTGCTTCAGAAACCAATGCTACTATGGAGTGTGGGCAAGATAATAGGGACAGCTTTGTTGTATTGAACTTTTCTTTGTCATGATATTCACAGTAATTAGATTCTGTCTACTCTATCACTTCTGGAGAACATACAGGATTTTTTTTGTAATGTGATTTCCTGATGATTTCCTGAAATTTATTGGGTGAAATAATTCATACCAACTAATGTTTCATTCCAGCGAACTATAAATGTTTTCTTAACACTTCTGTTCCTGCTAGTTTTCATAATTTTCCCATTATTTTTTTTTAATTTTAAGACAATAGGATATATAAGGAGGAGAAAGTGGCTCACCACACATGAATGAAATGCTCCCAGTAGGATAATTTTTAGAGCTGTATAGTGGGAAGAAAAATTTCTTTTCTCTATAAAGACAAAAGTCTGTTGTAAAATCTGAAACCCAATAATGAGTTTTACCCCAGAGTAACAGAATATGTAGATTTTTATTCAGCTGTTTCACAAGAGAATAGTGACTGGTAAATAGTCTTCATTTTGTAGAGTGGTAACTTGATCTACCATGTACTTTGACTCTAAGCTTATTACAGTGTTTTTATTAAGAACAGTTTTTGAGTACCCAAATGCATTTGCTTTTCTTTTTTCTTGTTTCATTTTAAAAATTAAACTTTAAAATTAAAAATATAAATTAAAACTTTCCTAAACTTAAAAAGTTCATATTCTAACATTCATCAGTACCACCCAGTTTATTTAGCATGTAAGTATAGACCAACTTATATTATTCTCCATTTCTATGTTATTTTTTAAGGTGATGACTGGGTTTAGTTCCCTGTGCTAGGCATTGGGGAAATACAAAGTACAGATAAAACAGTCCCTACCTTCATGGACCTTATAGTTACTGAACACCAACACACATGTACACAAACCCATACCTAAATGCATATGCACACAATATAATATAATTATTGACTTACAGAGTTATTAAACAAAGTGCTGTGTGAGGTCTGAGAGAAGGCTCTTATTGTCTGAAGTGAGGGGATCAGAAAGACTTTCCTGGGATTAGCATTTGAATTTTGCTTTAAAAGACTGGAGTTCATTGTAAGAGAGAAGGGAAGAAATTAAAGAATAGGGAGGCAGGTGAACATAGGGGCCTGGTGGAAGGGGGTGAGAAAGTAGGCTGATTGGACTTGTGTATATTATGTGTAGCAATGACTAGGGATCCAAGGTATTTGACTTAGCAGGAAAACTACCTTCTCCCTCTTGGATTGATCCCACTTAGCAAACTGAGTCAACCACTTTTCATGGGTGGTGATCTTGAGTCACTCAGACAGAATCTTTTCTTGTTGTCTCATCTAGCTTGGAACAGGGGCAATGCTGGGCTCTCAAGGTATAGACATCTAGGTTGCTGCACATTGAATCTGCGGTCAGGAAGACCTGAGTTGACTTATACCTAAGTCATTTTACCTCTGTCTGCCTCAGTTTCATCATCTGTAAAATGTGGATGATAATAACAAATAGCTCCCAGGGTTGATGTGAGGATAAAATGATGTATTTGTAAAGTGCTTTGGAATCTTTAAGCAATATGTAAAGGCTAGCTATCATAAATCATTATTCTCTCCCTATATTGTTTAGTCTGTAATAGTTGAAGCCATTGGTCATGGAAGGTATGACAGTTTTCTTTGTCTCCATTCACCTTCATGACTGCAGTCTCTCTGCTTTTGCTTTCTCTCCCCTCTCTTCTTTCTTTACCTCTTTCTCCTTTGCTTCTTTCTCTACTCTCCTTTTCTACCCCACACCCCAGCTTTTCAATCTCTCCTAAACTGAAAGATGATTTTAGAGACCTTGGAATGCCAAGCAAAATCTTTTTTTAAACGTTATACATATTGGGTACAACTGAAGACTTTTGAACAGAGGCATGATAAGTAGAAAGCTTATTCTGGTGGCATTTTGGAAGATGGATGGGAAAGGAGAGGGCACAAAGACAAGAAGGTCTGGTTTAGGCAGTATCCCAGATGGATGATGAGAGCCTAGTTCAGAGATGTGGCAGTGGAAATACAGGGGATAGATGTGAAGGACATTGTTTAGGGCGAAGAGTCACTGCGACCAATGTGTGATTGTCTATGAGATGTGAGCAAGAGGTAGTGGTTAAAGATAACACATTTTAATCCAGGGAGACAGAGTGACACAGTGAGAAATAATAAAGTTAGAAAGAGAAGATGAGACTGGGGAGAAGAAATTTTAGAGTTTTAGCAGAAAATAGGGGGGAAAGGTATTTTTGAAAATAGTTTATTTGAATTTCTAGTGAAATATTCATTTGGGGGATTGGAGCATTAGGCGTGGAAGATGAAGGTATGGAGTTCAGAAAAGAAAGATAAAGGCTACAGATAGAGATTTGGGAATTGTCAACATAGAATTGATAAGTGAAGCTGAGGTAGTAAACAAGATCAATAAAAGTGAGAGTACAAAGAAAAGAGAAGAGGGTGAAGGGTGCACAATCCTGTTGTTCTTAACAGTATTATTGTAAGCTTATCTAGAACAGAGACAAAGACTGTCTATATACCTTAGTGAAGTGAGTGGTTTGCTAGGTACTTCAGGAAGCCTCCCCTGCTCAAGAAAAATGGTATAATGGAGTATTAATTATTAGAGCTTTATTCTATACAAGCAGGGATAACACAGAAGGCAAACTGTTAGTCATTCACACCTTAATGTGACATATCAGCATACTGCTCCATGGCTCTCAAATAGCTGAATAAGACAGTTGAATTAAAGGAATGATTGTTATTGGGAGAAAGAAGATTAACTTTTAAGCACAGACCACTGTCCAAAGAGGACATATCTCAATAGGATGACATATAAGCAGCAAAAGGTCACTGGAAGTCTTGGAAGCATGTGTATGAGACCACCAAAGACAATCTTGCTTCCTTAGTTTTAACTAGTACCTCCATATCAAGGCTTCTTTAGTAGCCCTAATAGCATTTACCAAGGTTTTGGGCAAATACTAGGCTCTAACAATTATAACTTAATTTGATTTGACGGAGTATTTAAACTTACTTATTTTTTTATTTAGTTTCAGGTGCAGCATTACATCTCTAATAGTCTGGTCATACTGGGAAAGTGCAGTTTTTTAAGAAAACCTGTCATATCTCTGCTTTTATCACAAGTTAACAACTTCACTGATGAGTTGAGGAATATGCATCAGGTACTCTTAATTTCAAAATTTTGCTCTGAGTTATAGTTATTAATGGAACAGATTTTTTTTAAATTATGCTCTAATAATTAACAGATGGTATGTTCATTTTACATGTTTAATTCCTTCTAAAATTCTAGGTGAGGGAGAAGGGCATTTTTAGGGAAAAGTTGACATTCAAAGAGAAAATATATTTCAGATAGAGACAAATATTAAACTCAAAATTAAATTTAAAATATGTAAAGTAAATATAATGGCTGACCAGAATTTTCTTATGGTAGCTGTCCAAGATATCATTGTACTGAAAGAATGAGTTTAAAGTAGTAAAAATGATAACTATTTGAAAGTTCTTACCAGTGGCTTTCATCTCTCCCTACCTTCCTAACCCAGCACTTTAGGGCTGTTAAATTCAAACTTAAGCTGTGCTGTAACTGTGGGAAGAATCTAAAACATTGAGATTCTGAGAGTAGGCTGGAAATCAGTCCTGAGGGTGGAAGAATCTGTGAGGCGAGAGCTGTGGAGGAAGCACCAAGACAATGGCTTGTGAAAGGGGTTGAAGCCCTGGGACAGGTCTGGAGAACTAATAGGTAAATAACTGGACAGAGCAGCCAGTTAGATTCTAGCATGGGAATATTTTCTCTGCTCCCACTGCAGGGACTGAACATAGGTTTTACCATCATCTGCTCCTGTGTCCCAGGACAAGCTAGCTGGACATGACCTTTTCAGGAGCACTAAATGGAGAATAATGCAGTAAGCCTTTTATTGCTGAGAGTTCACTGTCAATTGCTGATGAATGAGTTTGATAGTCAATGTCTGCCAGTATTCCAACACCTGAAAGTTGCTACTCGTCATCATCAACATTGTTGTCGTGAAACAGGTAATCTAGAGATACCTGGCAATTATTTTTTCCAGTTTATGAAGGCAGCTATGGTGTAATGAAGAGACCACTAGATTTCCTTTAGGTTCAGCATTTCAAGGTTGAGCACCTCACGCTAAGTTGATCTAACTGCAAAGTTTATAGTTTACATATCAGTTTTGTGGACATTCTTGTGAAAGGGTGTGAAACTTGTATGCCTCTCATCACAGCTCTCTGGGGTTACCCCCTTACTTGATTTAAGGAATTAAAGATATGTATACACAGCTGCAGCGTTTTTGCTTGCACAATCCAGGCACAATACTGTTTCTAGATGGCCTGCATCTGTGAGGGGCTATGTGCATTTATACTGAGGTAGACAAAGGAGTTAGAATTTCTTATAAATGCACAAATCTAGAATTAGTAGACATCAGCCATCTCTGAATACACGAGGCATGAGGTGTTTAGGGGTTCCTTGACATAGGTAAGATGAGCCTAAAAAGAAAAAAACAGACTTTTTTGTTATTACCTGCTGAAGTATCAGAAATTCATCAGTCACTGTAGCTGCCTCTATTTCCATCCCCATCTTCCCCTGCCTCTACATGAGCAAACATGATTTAATTATATTGCATTACATTTAGAGTCTAAATGTGATATTGCTACTTCTTAACCCTATACCCTTGGGAAAATTATTTAACTTCCCTCTACTATACTTTGTTTATCTGTAAAATGGGGATAATAATGCATTTACTACCTACTTCTGTGCTTGTTAAAAAGGATCAAATGAGATGCTGTGATTTAAGCACTTTATATTTGCAAAGTGCTAGATAGATGTAAGCTATTAAGATATATACTTAAACAGTATCAACTTTCACTTGGATCCATGTAATTTTCATTGTCTCAATAAAAGCAGAGATATAAAAATCTAAGGGAGTCTCCACTTCAAGGTGGCAGAGAGAAGCCAAAAAATTGTCTGAGCTTTCCCTGGTTTCCCTTGGAAACAACATTAAAGGGGGCAGAACTAAGATGGAGAAATAAATGCGGTGACTTACTTGAGCTTTCCCCCAAACCCCTCCAAATACCAAAAAAATGGCTCTAAACAAATTCTAGAGCAGCAAAACCCACAAAAAGACAGAGTGAAACAAATTTCCAGTCCAAGACAACCTGGATGGTTGATTGGAAAGGACTATTGCACAGGACTAGGAGAGGAACAGAGTTCAGTGTGGGCCATGCAGGCAAAGACCAGGCCTGAGCGAAACTGGAGCAGTCCTCGGGATTGAATCAAGGGGCGCTGTGGTGGTTTCCAGACTTCTCAATCCACAAACACCAAAAACAACTTAGAAGGTCATTAGGAAATGTCTGTTGGACCATGATGAGAGAGGAGGTTGGACTGGCCCCAGTCATAGCGCAGCCCTGGGGCGGTGACTGCTTCCAGAGCTCTTGGCACACAGATGGAGGGGGATCAAGTGGTTGATCAGAGGAGGATTGCAGGAATCTCTTTGCTGGTGCTGAGGCAGGATTCTCTTGCTTTGCCCATGTTTGGATCTGGGTTGCTGTTCTGGGTGGCGATCCTGGGGCAAGGAGGAATGCTGGCATGGTGGAGCTTGTAGTGGTGGTAAAGAGAGAATCCTCCTCACAGTTCCAAGACAGGAAAGAGTGCTAGTGGTCACTCATAGACCACAGCACAGGCCTGGAAAGGAGTAAACACCTCGCCCTTGATCGTACCACCTTGGAAGGACTGAAAATTTACAGGTCCCTACAAATATCTCTGAAAATAGCTGCACAAAACCCCCAAAGCTTGGGGCAGTACATTCTCCACACTGGAAGCATACCCCTACCTTAACAAAGAGTTTAAAACTCAAGTAATTGGCTGAGATCATGAGCAAACAGCTCAAAAAAGTCAGACCATAGAATCTTACTTTGGTGACAAAGAAGATTAAAATATACAACCAGAAGAAGACAACAAAGTCAAAGCTCCTACATTCAAAGCCTCCAAGAAAAATATGAATTGGTCCCAGGCCATGGAAGAGCTCAAAAAGGAATTTGAGAAGAAGTAAGAGAAGTAGAGATAAAATTGGGAAGGGAAATGAGAGTGGTACAAGAAAATCATGAAAAATTAGTCAACAGCTTGCTAAAGGAGACCCAAAAAAATACTGAAGAAATTAACACCTTAAAAAATAGACTAGGGGCAGCTAGGTGGTGAGTGGACAGAGCATTGGCCCTCAAGTCAGGAGGACCTGAGTTCAAATATGCCCTCAGGGCAAATACTTGATACTTATTAGCTATGTGACCCTGGGCAAGTCAGTTAACCCCAATTGCCCCCCCCCAAAAAAAAAGACTAACTGAAATGGCAAAAGAGGTCCAAAAAGCCAATGAAGAGAAGAATGCCTTTAAAAGCAGAATTAGCCAAATGGAAAAGGAAGTCCAAAAGCTCGCTGAAGAAAATACTTCCTTAAAAATTAGAATGCAATGGAGCAAATGGAAGCTAGTGATTATGAGAAATTAAGAAATTGTAAAACAAATCCAAAAGAATGAAAAAATAGAAAACAATGTGAAATATCTCATTGGATAAACAACTGACCTGGAAAATAGATCCAGCAGAAATAATTTAAAAGTTATTGGACTACCTGAGAGACATGATCAAAAAACCAGCCTAGACATCAGCTTTTAAAAACGAGATAAAAAAAAAACAAAACAAAAAAGAGCTTTGATCATGGTAATCAATAAGGGAAAACTGTTTATATCCCTACATGGGAAGATAAAACTTGTAAATCTTAGGAACTGTATCTCTATTAGGGTGGTTAGGAGTAAACTTAGACAGAGGGTGTGGGTATAAGTTGACTTTTATGTGATGATAAAAAACATATGGAAATCTAAATAAATCACATTTGACACTTGAGAAATGAAAAATAATCCAATCAAAACATCCATGATAGCATTTAGGTGTTGCTGTTTGATTCCAGAACGTAATTTACATTTAGCTTCTATGATATCAATGATTGATTGTAGAAATGTACTTCTACCATGACCAATGAGGGATTTTTTTTTTTGCCAGACTATGCAGCTATGTATTTAGGGCTTTCGTTTTCATTTTTTAAAATTTCCCAAATGGTAGAGAATAGTCAGAGAGATAGATTAACAAAATAAAATGATTAAATGAATGAACATACTATATAAATGAAAAAGAAAATGTACATCTGGAATCCATTTTTCTGTCTCTACTACTATTACAACCATTACTGATACTAATATTAATACCAATAATAATAACTGCTAGCATTTATATACCATTTCAAGATTTGCAGAGTTCTTCATATATACTGTCTCTTTTGATTCTTGCAACAACCATTTGAGGTGGGTGCTATTATTCCCATTTTGCAGAAGAAGAGACTAAAGTTTTGTGAATTTCAATAATTTGCCCAGTGGCCCCAGAGCTAGTAAATGAGGCAGAATTTGACCTTAGATTTTCCTGATTCAGCATTCACCATTTTGTCCCATATGCCACTTCATAGCATACTTAGATATCTAATTCCCTCCAGTATCTTCAGTATCTTCTCTTTCTGTGCAATTTTCAACTGTCTTTCTATCAGTAGTTCTGCACTCAAACCCTTTTCTGGTTCTTTTAATTTCTCAGCATTGCCAGTGTAGCATTCAGGTTTCCACCTAATTCTTGCAGCCTTGCAACCTGAGCAGATCACCTCCTTTTCCACATATTTAAGGATGAATCCTAAGATAAACAGGAATATGGGAACAGGTTGTTCAGGGAACTTTGAGAAGTTGACCCACTGGACTTAGTTATATGTAGCAAAGAATAGGGGGGAAAAGACAGAATACAAAGGATGGTAGGATATTATGGAATGCTTTTTTGAGAAAGACAAAGGTTTTACTTGAGGCCTTTCACAGTATGTAGACACTTGAACAAAAGAGTGATGATAAATTCTGTGCTATTACTTGGACTGAACAGAGAAGGCCATTAGGGAGAGCAGTTTAGGATTTTCTTAGAATGATCCAAAAATGAGGTTGTAACCATTGTCAGATCTAAGAGTCATTTTAAAGCAAGAGAGAGAGGATTTATTAGATCCAGATGATAGAAGTATTGAAGAAGAAAACTTAGTGAATACTGTGGAGAGAAAAACACTTAAAAAGAGAACAAATACAA